TTTTGATAAAATAGGCTGTGAGTGTAGATTCTTCAGCAGCAACTCTCTGTGGCTTCTCAGACACTTCTGCCAGCGAAATCAAGAGTTCTGAAGAGTCCAACTGAAAACTATTTTACCTCTTCATAACATATAGCTAAGAACTACTCAACTATTCTGTAAGTTGATTAGGAAGGAAAAAGGAATAGATGAGATCTGGATTTATAAGCTAAAATATCAGGGAAGAAACAAGTGTTCAAAAGAAAACAAGATCTCCAGTTTTTCAGCCTTTTTCAAGCATGATCAGCAGAAAAAAAAAAAACGGGAATCCAAGCTATTTTTTCCCCCCAAGTTGCAGGTCATTTTTTTAAGATTTATGTCTGTGTCTGACCTGACATGGGAAGGACTGCATGGCATAAGAAACCTGTCAGAACTAATCAGTCTTTAATTTCAGACAGTATGGGGAAAGACACTTGAAATTGTAACAGATTATTTTGAAAAAATGACAAATACTTCCCTAAAAGTAACATGTATGTGTATTAGTTACTTTGCTTAAGAACTATGGCTGCAGAATGGTTGATTGAACCATAGTTTGCACATTAATTTGGTTTAATTTTGTTAACATGTTGCATTTTTCTACGTAGTATTGTATTCTATACTGCATTACGTATATAGCTATCCAAAGTCTATGCAATGTTTTCACTTAAGCTTAGCTGGGATATGAAATGTCTTATCACAAGACATGAATTTTCTCCAATGGACCTGATCTTAAGGTTTTCACACACTCAGAGTTTCTATGAACTTCACTGACAGCTCTTGTTGCTCGAGAAGTGCAGGACTGAACCCCCTATAGAAGCACGTTTCGTGCCGTGTTCAGTGGGGTTGCTCTTTGAAAGTCTGCTGGAGGGGAAGGTAGGATGGCAGGAAAGCTCCTTTTGCAGAGATATCTCTTACTGCCATCTCTGGGCAAGGTTTGTGTAGACATGTTTGTCAAGAGAAGAGAGGAAACCTCTCCCTCTCTGCGGATCCATTTTGCCGCTTCTCCATGCAGTCGAGGTGTAATCTCGGTAGGTGCTATATTTTACGCAGAACAGAGAAGTTTGTGCATGGACCTTGTTAGAGCAGTACTCCCCCTTCAGTGATGCTTATCATTCCCATCCTGTTCTCTTATCTTTTGGCCTCTGTCTTTTGGCCTCTGTCTTTATAATGGAAAAGTCCTAATCCCAACTGTCCTGATCATTGATTGAATACGGAGTTTTTATTTGTCCCATTTTCATGACAAAGTCATAAGTTTTTAAATTCTGTATGAAGGTGCAGTGGTTTTGGCTTATTGCATGCTATTATGCATCTGACCTTCAGCTGATATATCTCCAATAAAGTCCGTACAAATTAGGCTGAGTCTGGCCTTACGGTTTTGTATTTATTTGTCAGCAAAAAGGAATGCCTCACTTCAAACTTTCTTTTCATTGCTGAATCTTGTGTCATATGTATGCAATCTGTTAACTATCCTCCATGTAGGAGTTCGGACTGCTAGCGTGATTATTGCTCTGACGGACGGAGAATTGCAAGACGTTCAGTTTTATTATGCAGAACAAGAAGTAAGTCACCTTCACATTTACCCAGACTACCTTATGTCAAACCTGTAGGCATTTACTGTTGGCTCCACTGATTATATGGCTTTGCATTTAATGGCAATTTTTTTTTTTTATTTAGGCCAACAGAGCCAGAAGCTTTGGAGCTATTGTTTATTGTGTTGGAGTGAAAGATTTCAATGAAACTCAGGTAACTTTGCTTGCTTTGTTTTTCTGTTATACTACTGCACAGGTAACAGCATCAGATGAAGGCATTTATTTAATTACTTGAGGCATAAATCATGTCAGTATGATGTCTTTTAGCAAGTATGAAAGGGCCCAGTTTTGTTCACTGTAATTTTGTTTTCCTCATGATTTATGATTGTCTTTCTTTGCAGCTGTCAACAATTGCTGACAGCATCGATCATGTTTTTCCAGTTACGGGAGGCTTTTATGCCCTAAGAGGAACCATTGATTCAGTAAGTTGGGTATTCTGAAACCCAGAAAAGGGCACCCTTTCCTGTATTAATAAAGCGTAGATAAAAATGATTGATTACCAAAAATGCCATTATCTAAATCTTTTAGATTCTCAAGAAATCTTGCATTGAGATCCTAGCGGCTGAACCATCGAGCGTTTGTGCAGGAGGTGAGTTTCCACAAGAACAGTGTGATAAGGCAAATGAATGACAGTGATGAAATGTCAGTAACTACCTAATGCGGTATTGGAGCTGAAGCCCGTGGATGTGTTAGAGTGTCCCCTCGGGCCATGGCTAAAGCTCTGTGTGTCCCTTCTCAGCTTGAGAAAAAAATTGTGCTGATAAACACGTAGCTGCTGCGGCTGAATGCCAGCTTGGAGAGTTGGCTGAGGTAGCACTCCGGGAATTGGGGATACTGCTTTTTGAAATATCTGAGAGAAGGAGGAGACAGAAGTGATGTGAAGTCAGACTGCCAGAGGTGTTTTAGGGTCTAAAGGCGACATCTCACAAATTTCTGGAAAGACTGCGTGCCTGGGATCTGCTAGGACTCGTCAGCAGTTAGAACAAGATTTTGCAAAACATTCACAGAAATTTCGGGTTGTTTGAACCAGGTGTAATTAACTGCATAGGCCAAGATATCTGATGCGTTTTCCAAAGTACTAATGTTTTACTTATTTGCAATGAAAGAACCATTAGTGTATATAGTAAAGGTGAAGAATCCCCAGAGGAGCTGTTGATAACTTCATGCCTTTCATGTGCAGTATATTTAACTTGGGTTTGTTCTGGTTTACGTTAGCAATTCTCTTGCTGTGTTTTTGCCTACTTAAGAGGCTATTGCAGCAGAGTAAGAGTGACACCATAAGTTTGCTGGAAGGTACAGTTTGCAGCATGGCTATTTAGATCTGATGTTACTGTCTTGTGTTCATTTCCTTATACACTGCAAAAATGAGCACATAAAAATAAAATAGCAATGATGCTTGAAAGCTGACCTTGAAAACAGATAAAAATAGGAAACTCGGGAACAATCTAATAAATATCAGAGAAGAGAAATGGTTCACTCTTCATTTCCACTTGTCGATCGCAATATGACCTTGCCCTGAGTATTTCAATTTAAAATGAAATATCCTTGTATCTTTTGAACTATTCCTAAATATATATTTGTGGACTAGACATTTGTGATAATTTTTCCACAGACAAGATTTTAAAAAAGGAATGATTTTGCTTTTAAAAATCTCCTTGTGGAGTTGATCAAAAACAATTTTAAAGCTTTGGCATTTCAAAGGTTTTTTTATTTCATAGTGAAAAATTCTTTCTTTTTTTGCTTGCTTACTGTATACCAGGCAATTTTTTGTGCAGCAGCTTATTGCAAGCTTTCCTGTTCAACAAAAATTGCATTTAGCTACGTGAAAATGTGAGTGTTCCAATAGGAGGGATTTCAGTAGTACTCTTGTAATTGTTTAGAACAATGTTAAGAATATTGGAAAGTTGAATTTGAAACCATTTTTTCAAATGGAAATTTGAAAATATTTTTCTAAGTATTTGAGAAAATAAATTTTCAACAAAAGATTTGCCTTTCAAAAATGGATATATTTCAGCAAAAAGAGTAAAATTTCTTTTTTTCAAATTGAATCAGTTTGATTCCTGATTCGTGAGTTCAAACCATTTTTTGCCAAGCTTGTTAGGTAACTAGTTTATCACAAATGTCATTAAAAATACACAAGTGCGCTTAAAAATAGCTTGTCCTCTTTAAAAAAAAAAAAAATTGTTGCATTATTTGCATGTAAAAGTTTTTTTCGTTGTCTTTGTGGCTTTCAAAAAAGATCAAA